CACTTAGGAGTTGCCCACATATTTGATTTGGGTCGGAGATTATGACTCCACTTACGAATTGCCCATAGGTTTAGTTTAGGACAGGTCTTACAGCTTCCATTAAAATTTTCCTGTAAGTTGGTTGAAAGTTTAATACTTCTCTTAGAAGTATCCCAAATAGCAAGTCTTACATCTTCCTCAGGAAGTTTCCTAAAATTTTAGATTTTTTTTAGGTCTAACGGCTTCTCTTAGAAGTTTTCTGTTGATTTGCTTGAATAGGTCTTATGACTTTCTTAAGAAGTTGCATGTATGTTTAGGTAGGTCTTATGACTTCTACATTTAGAAGTTGCCTATATATTTGGGTAGGTCTTATGGTTTCTACATTTAGAAGTTGCCTATAGTTTGGATTTAGGGTAGGTCGAACAACAACTACTTTAGTTTACATTTCTTTATTATCTTTACACTAATATTTTCATTTCAGTAGTTTCTCTTCTTGATTCAGCACTATTTCTAGTTAAAGTACTTAGCTTTTAGCACAATAAATTTTTTTATAGCACTTGTTTTCTTCTTTGAACTAGAATGTGCCTTCGCACTACAGGGAAATCATTCATTACCGGTAGTTTTTGCCAGCGGTTACCACTTGTTTTCTGGCGGCTTTTCGGCCAAAAAAAAAAATGGCACCAGAAACATATTCCGACGGCATTTTTCTGGCGGTTTTCTTCACCGACGGTTTGTACCTCCGGTTATCTTCCGGTGGTCTAAGCGTCGGTGATGGTCGGTTTTGTTACTAGTGGCGTACTGGCCGTGAAAATGCTAGTATAAACATCGTCGTTATTATAGTGTAGACCGCCGGTAATAAAATCGTTGTTATTACTGGCGGCGGGAGAACCGCTGGTCCAGACCACCAATAATCAATGAATTTCCTGTAGCGTCGAATGACTATATTCTTGGTATGATTATCAGGGCCTTCGCTTGTCATAATTTTTACAATAGTCTTTTATATGCATGCTATTAGAAGGCTCTCCCAAATATTTTTTTTTTCCATAATATGGGCATTGATCCATATTAGGACAATATTTCTTTCCTGTCGGTATTAAGAAGGACACTTAATATCCTTTTTATAAGGTTTTTTTTAAGCCTTATCTGTCCAGGAGTGAACCACATTTGAAAAGATGACTTCATTGACAAATTTTCTCAATCTTCCTTGTAGATTTATGTCTTCTTTGTAGTCTTTTATACGTTACACTTGCATGAATCTCAACGCCCTTGTAATTTTATATGATTATTGATGCATTTGCATGATCAATAGTATGCATATTCATGTTGCTTAGTGTTTTTGTATAGTGCACTTATATGACGTGAGAACATTTGCACTATATAATCAGAAAAGATATAAGAGTTATTTTTTTTGGGCGATTTGACATGTCTCACACATTTTACTAAGAGAATTGCATAGCTCGTGACACACAACGGTGTACGAGTGTTCATGAGATGTATGATGAATTCACAGGAATGTCTCATTCCTTTTGGCAGTTGGCATGCATGTTACCTAGAGTACTTGCACACCTTTTTTCATCAGGGAGCATTTAACCAGAATAACTATTAGGGATATGCGGTGTTCATACATAACAGTCGCTAATACATATGCACTTCGTAGGAGCATAAATATATTTATATTTTTTTGGTTAATTATCGCTCGCGAACTTTCATATTTTAGCCCTTAACTTACCTTTCACATATGTATCTCCCTTTTTTCATTTTGCTTTTGGATTTTGGCTCAGTGGGTCCCATAGGAAAATCAATTTTTTAAGGTTATAAATAGGAGGTCATTCAATTCATTTTAGTTTTATGTATTTTATTTTAGAGCATGTGTTACTAAAGGACTTCGGTGTGCACAAGCGAACAAGAAGCTAAGGGTAAAGTTTTGGTTAATGCTCATGTTTGCCGGCGAGAAGTCATTTCTCCTACAAGTTTACTATAAATTCTAAGGCATTTTAATTATTATTTATTTTATTAATTTTATTATTTGCAACATAGGTTTTCATACATTTTCATTTTGTTGGCCAATTTAGTTTTATATTTAAATTCCTATAAATTTACTTTGTTCTTTATTTTGGTCTAAATTTTGACAGCACTCTAATATTCTCCCTACGTAGGGGGTTATATTGGGGTGTTAAGCCTTCTCATCAAGTCGAAAAAGGCGTGCAAAGGTAACACCGCAGGTGAAATTTCCAAACTTCACCTGCCAAGAAAGGCAATTAAGAGTACTTAAGATTTTCCAGCGTAACAATATTTCTCAATTTGCTAAGAATGACAATCAAAGGTACTTAGGATTTTATAGGCACAATAGCATTTATTCTTGACATTAGCATTTACCTGCCTGTCAAGAAAAACAATCACAAGTATATAGGATTTCAAATTACAAGTTATATCTCAAAATGTGTGACGACGAGGATGATGATGATGAGACAATGAGGCAAAGCAGCACACGAGATTTCTCCTTTTTTGGCTTATCTTCTTTTTTTAACCCCATTTTGGTAGATAAAGTCGAGAGAGATAGACTAGAGAGATAATATCTCTCTCCAATTTTAGAGAGAGAAATTATTTTTGCATAGGTAGAGAAAAAAAAAGTGGGAGTAAGAGGGAGCTATGAAAGGTAACTTAGAACATTTTCTCTCTAGTTTTAGAGAGAGTGTGAGAGAGGGCTAGAGATTTTGATGGATGATGTGGCGTGAGAGTTGTAGGAAGAAGATGTGAGGTGTTTGAGAGAAAATCTCTCTCTCTCTCTCTCTCTCTCTCAAATTTTAGAGAGAGAAAGAGAGGGGCTAGGATTAGGGTTTGGTAAATGAAGATGAGGAGGCTAGGATTTGGAGAAGAAGGCAATAGGAGGAAGAAGAGGAAGTCTAGGTGGAGAGAAAGGAGAAGAGAAGATGGGAGGAGAGGAAATTGGATGCAAGCCAAGTGGACGGCGGTGTCAGGCCGACTGGGCTAGATGGCAACGACATCGTCTAGTGGTCGAGCTAGCAATGGCCGTCGACCTTGAGTCACACGAGAGAGAAGAAGATCGAAAAATGGGGTGGGCTCATGCGTGTAGGAGAGAGCCAGAAGGATAGGACGTGCTTGAGGGCTGATTACATGAGTGAGCCAAGTGAGGCAACTGGGTTTGTGAGTAAGGGGTTTTATTAGGGGTTTAAGGTTTAAGTTTTTTTTTTTCTCTCTTTAAATTTATTGATGTTAAATTCTCTCTCTTTTAAGTTAATAATAAATATTTATTTATATTAATAATGCCTCAAACTGATCATCAAATCATCGAAGATTGTGCACATCGATTTTGACTCAATTCATTTGTGCAAAATTTGGATTTTCGTCACTCGATGACCCTGGCCAATTTGAGTGTCGAACTTGGTTGTTTTAGTTTCCCTGATCATTGATGCTGTTCGTTTTGAGAATGGAGGCCGTTTGCGCCATTTATCTGTTTCGTTGCATTGAACATCAGATACTACCATTGAGGTTAACAAATAGTTTGAAAATGATAAAGAAAAATCAGAGTTTGGACAAAGCTTACAAGTTTCAATATTATATCAAATTTATCCACATGGCTATAATAAAAATATCTCAGACTAGCTGGTATGTGGCAAGCTCTCTTTATATCATATGATCATGCCTAAATATTTTGAAGCTAAAAATGAGTTTTCCTCAGTTGAGACCTCAAGATGGTATAAACGAGACTTTCCATAACATCAAAAACAGACATAACACAAATGGTATATATTCAAAATAATTAATATATTCACTTGCACGAATAATGTTAAGTAAGACATGATCTATATAAATTCACAAAAAAAAAAATTATTTAAAAAAACTGTTAGCCCATACAACTTCTAATGTAATTTTTTTATTTATAAATACAATATGTAATCTATGCTTTCTAATGTAATTTTTTTTATTTTATTTAATAAATACTTATTTTAGTAAGATTTATTTTTGTCAAAAAAAAATTAAGCTTAATTTGAAAAAATGATAAATATAAAGTTATGATTAAAAATAAATATAAAAAAATGAGAAAAAAATATACACAAAAATATTATTTTTTGATATTAAGAAATGAAATTCAGTTGAAGAGAAATTACTGTAATTTAAAATGTTACTGTATTTTGAAGCGAAAAAAGAGTTTTTCAATTCAGACCTCAAGATGGTATAAATGAGACTTTCCATGACATCAAAAACAGGCATAAGGCAAATGGTATCTATATAAATAATGTTAAGAAGTAAGACATTATCTATATAAATTCACAAATATTTTGAGAAGTAATATCAAAGCAAGACAAAGACGGTCAAACGCAAAAGTCAAGGTTGACCCTTATATTGTTAGTGGCTTGGGCCCACATTTAGGTCAATTTGGACTCATTCAACTTATCCTTATTTTAAATATTGAGAAGTCACCTTAAAACTCTCACAAAATAGCACATTACTATGCGGATATGTAGCTCTCTTTACTCAAATAGGAATTCCATCACAAAAAGAGTGGAAGATTTATCTACTTTTAAAAAGGCACAAATAAAAAATTTATTTTATTTTTTTATTCCTTTCAAATACAATGGCCGATAAATACAATGACCACCGGCGTGAAATGAATAGGGTAGGTCATTGTGACGGCGACTAGCAATGACGAGTAGTAGAATATGGAGATGATGAGAGGGCCTTCGGGTTGTGACAAATAGTAATCCAAAGCTACAACCCAAAGGGCGAAAAAAATAGTGAAAAAAGTAACTTTTTAATGTTAAAAAATAATAGCTAAATAAAAATTGTGGCTAATTTTTTTATTGTTTTTATAAAGCAGCTTTTTAATAAATTTTTTATTTCAAAAAGTAAATTTTTACTAAAAACATTGCTTTAAATATCCCAAAACGAGAGAGACTAAAAACTATATAAAAACTAATTGAGAAAGCTGAAGGGATAAAAAAGTTGTGCGCAATCAAAAAGATTTTTCAAGCTGCACAATCCAAAATTACATTAAATGTACACAGATTGACAGTATAACACACATCAACAGATGTGAGAAAGCTTTAGAGAGAGAAAAAAAAAGTGCGTGCTCAAATAAGTTTCTTGAACAGCACCATCTATAAGCTATGTGTAAATTTACAGTATAAAAAAAAAAAATCAAAAGGTGTGTTCAAAGAGGTTTCTTGAGCTCACCACATAAAATTAAATTTACAATATATATATATATATATCAAATATTTCATGTATGATAAAAAACATAGTTTCAACTATCTACAAACTCCACCCTTCAAAGAAATCCATGTTTCTTCATCAATGCTCTCTCTCTTTTCTGAGCAAAAATCTGTAAGGAGAAGAGGGAAAAAGAAAAAAATTAATAAAAATAAATTCAGTTTCATATAGTTTCTTTAATTCATGACAGCAGAAGAAACTGATTAAATTCAAGTGAACTAAGGAATCACCTTAAGATCATCATAATGATGGGTTGGTCCCTTCTCCTACCATCGCTTGTGAAATTCTTCTCATCTGATGCGGCTAAAATTGGCAAATGGTTCTGAATATGTCTTCTTAGCTGCAGGTTTATCCATTTCTGGATTCCCAAACACCTTCCAAAATCTCAAAGTCTCGTCGCCGGCCGCCGTCGCCACCGTGCAGCCATCTGGGCTCTGCAATTCCAAAATTTCAGTAAAAGATTTCAATTATTTTTTTCACCAAGTACCAGAGAAACTGTAATACTTACCTGAGTCATATGTAGAACTCTAGAAGTATGCCCACAGAGCTCAGCTACCTTCACCATAGATGGATACTTCCACAATGTGAGCTGGTTCTGACTGTAGCCATGAGAGGTAAGTAGCTCGCGCTCATTTTTGTTCCATAGAATCCCACAAATCTGTGAATCTGTCTCTACTGAATTCAAGCAAGCACCAGTGAGGGTGTTCCAGAACTTGATGCATTTATCGGCTCCACCTCCACCTGAAGCAAGCAAATTATTCTGAAAGGGGCACCACGCCAAAGCCTTTACTGCAGCATCGTGACCCTCAAATCTATGAAGCCATTGGTTTTGATTCCGTGCTGCTGCAGAAGAGGAGGTAGCCATGGATTGATCCCATATATGGATCAGGTTGTCATTGCCACCACTTGCAAGCTGCTTGCCAGATTCTGACCATTTCAAGCCACATACTTCTTGCTGGTGACCTCTGTAGCTCTTTACTACATGGTTTCTTATCCTCACATCATTGTTCACTATCTTTCCATCCATTCCACCAGTTGTAAGGATACTGTTGTTCCAAGCAAGAGTTCCAACACGAGATCTATGTATTTCATCTAGTGTTCTTAACTGTTAAGCAAAAAAAAACTTGTTACTATAAAAACTTGAAGAATAATCTTCTTACTGAATTATTGTTTATGCTATCTTTTGCTGATTTTGCAGTTTAAAGCATGTTTGAAATGTTAAAATGATCCATAATAATTTAGTCCATAAACCTACTCCCTTCAAAGCCCAACGATAAACAAAATCATACATGATTGATACTGTTTGTATGCAATAAAAACTAATTAGAAAGGACTTGCTACATAAGATAATTTAAAAATTGAACAAAATTCTACTAACCAGTTTAGCTGAGTTTGAGTCCCACAATTGAACATAGGAGTTGTTCAATCCAACTGCAATGTGCTTCCCATCAGGAGCCCAGCTGACGCTGGTGACTGGACCAAGATCATCGTCAACGGTCACAAGCTCAGATGTCGAACCCTTCGAAGCATCCCACAAATATACCGTGTTTCCGAGAGCAATTGATAAGACATTTCTGCTTCCCCAGTCGAGGACATTCAGATAGAAATCATCCACAAGATCAGGAGCATCTAATGTCCTCTCAGCCGACTGCATATTACAACATGCAAAACATAACAGTTTTAACAAATATAATATGCAAAAGAGTAATAAGAATCAGCAAATATCATATAAAAGTAAGAATGGAAGAAAAGGCTTGCCTGTGGAATGTATCTTTTTCTCTTTGTAATCTTGCATTGGTTGGAAGAACCAGCTTCCGAAATTGCAGTCAGCATTGAATCTGTGGAAATTGGAGTCTTTCTGTTGAACTCCAAGATCCTGGTTCTGTTGTTCAGCAAGGTCTCAGCGAGAAGCTTACGATAGGCCTCTTTTGCAGGTGAAACAACTCCAACGTTCTCCTTTTCCTTTCTGGGTTGCGTTAACAAGTAGTGGGCAACATCAAAATCCATTGCAGATCTATCTGGTATGAATCTGTCTCCCTGATATCAACCAATAACATTAAGACCGGAAATTTTAAAAGATCAGATAAAAGCGTAAAATTTAGCTTGAAAAGATTCATGGAACAAGAAATTGCAGCAATTTATAAACTTCATGAACATAAAAAATTTAAGGGACAGAGTAACAGAACAGTAGAGATGATCCAGAGGGTAAGAAGCCAACCAAAATTCATAAATTTACTGAAATGAATAATCAATACAATATTAAAAAAAATTGTTATTTCAAAGAGAATGGATTCTTACGCTTTGCCTGTAAGAAGTTGGATTCGAAGAAGAACTGCGGAGAGGAGGGATGTACACTGTGGATCCAACTTTTGTTAAGGGTTTACGATATCTTGACCAAGGCTTTTCAGTTGAAAATGATAAAGAATTAACAGATCCTGCATCCATTTGTTAGACCAAATCGAAGAAAAAAAGAAAGAAAGAAAGAAGAGGAAATAAAGAAAGAAATTAAATTGAAAACCTAATTGTCAGTGAAAACCTGCAATTAAAAAAAAAATCACAGTTTAAGAAGATGAGAAAGAGAAAGATCCTTATATTTAGAGGATGGAAGATCGAGATCGTCGAAACGGAATGCTGCTGTCCTTTAACCCTTCTTCGCTCCTGAGAGGAAGAAGAGAATCAAAACAAAGCTTTGTGAGAGTGAACCTCCGTTTCTCGTTGGCTTTATAGATGGTGGGCTGCGACTCGGATCTTCCGTAACGTCTATATTCAACTCAACGGCTCCTTTCCCAAAACAAAAACAAAAAAATCTTTCCTTTGCTCGCCGGTATATTTGGTCTGTAGCCGGGCCAAATTTTTGTTGATAAATCGGGTATTTTTTATTTGGAAAGAAATTGAATTAGAATATTTTGATTGAAAATTTTTAAATTTGTTATTATTTTCAATCGAGAAACTATAAAAATTTAAAATTCATCTAATCAAACTCTGATCAATATATTCTCACCTAAAAATGTTCTTTCTAATGTGTATCATTTAAATTTTCAATTTCAACATTCTCAAAATAATTTCTCTTATGATCTATTGATATGAACATATAATGCAAATATAATTGTTGCGTCCTAGAATATTCGCGGCGGTAGAGAAATATATAGTTTAACGTCTTAGCGTTGTACGAAGATCCAGCACACAATCAGATAAGTGAGAGGGTGTAGCGTTCATAAGAGACACCAAAGTTTTTACGTGGAAAACCCCTGAAAAAGGGGGGAAAACCACGGGGCCTGGCCCGGTTTGAATGAATCCACTAGTATTTGTAGTCGATTACAAATGAGGCCCTTCCTTAGGAGAAGGCCTTGTATTGATGTAGCAAATGTACATCATATAGATTGCATTACATGGTAAGAGTTACATATACAGGTTTGTTTGGCCTGAAGGACCGTGGTCGGCAGGAGACCGGAGTCGGCAGGAGATCGGGGTCAGAAAGACCGTTGTCTGTTGATGGAGGTCGGAAGGACCATAGTAGGCGACAAAGGCCTGAAGAACTGTAGTCGGCAGGAGACCGTAGTCGGCAGGAGACCGTAGTCGGCCGGAGACCGTAGTCGGCCGGAGACCGTAGTCGACCGGAGACCGTATTAACAAATTTAAAAATAATGTAGTTATATATATATATATATATATATATATAAACCACAAAGACATGCTAAATCCATTGAAGGAAAATAATAATAATTTATTAATAATTTACATTTTGAAACTTTTTTTAAATTATAACTTCACAACCTATTTTTAAGACAGTTATTTTTTATTATTAAAATTTTTATACTTAAAAATTATTTTAAAAAACAGCAAAAAAAAAAAAATTCCAAATGAAGCCTTATACGATAAACTATCTATTACCACAAAAACTCTTATAATACAACCAATACAAAGTTTTATTATGAATTTAAATATAATATCACATTAGACTATAATAATTCCTTAAAAAATTGCCAGTTTCAAAAAGCGTAATATAAAGATAGAGCCAAATCTAAAAACTTTAAAATTATTGTTTTCTTATAAAAAAAAAACTGTAGTAAGTAACAGAACATTTTTCAGAAAGTACTCCGAACTAGCTTTATAAGGGGGTCGAAAAAAGCTGTTTATGAAGGATAAAAACAAAAGGTTTACAATTTCAGAGATTTTAACTAGCATTGCAAAAGAAAAAGAATAACTGGTTTAGAAACTAAATCCAATAAAAAAATGGTAGCTTGGAACAAGAAGCAAACTGAATTGAGACAAACAAACTCTCCTAAGTCACAAATAATTGGAAATGAACCCGTGCCTGCCAGCAATCTCATTTATTTGCTTCTATAAATTCTTTATATTCCTTCTTCATTTTCACGCCAGGGACCGTCCTGCATTCAGACAAAGTATAATAACTTATCAGTTAGTGGAGAGATTATTCTGTGCGGATATCGAACATAGCTTATCATCCAGAGGCGAACAGGTGCATCCACGTCATCCGGTACGAAGCTCGGTACCGAGCAGTACCGATTAGGGAGTGACGTGGTGCATTTTCATTGGGCTCTGGATGACGTTCGGCGCCCGCACAAAACGATTCATCCAGTTAGTGACATATTGAACAATTCAGCAACATTTTCATTTTTTATAATAATATGAGAGAGAGAGAAATTCAGGCATGAGAGGTGAGATGAGAAGTTTTGTTCTCCTGCTACAAAAGATAAAGGAAAAAAAAAAACTACCTTATCATTTCTTTATTTTTGAAAAACTGTACACAAGGTGTTCCCATAATTCCTGCTGCTTCAGCAATTTCTGGATCTTCCTCAATGTCAATCTCAACATAATGCACATCCTGATCAAATTCATCAATTACCTGCAACAATGAAGAAGTCATTAATGGTAAAAAGTATCACAAGGCTACAAAAATTGTAAAACAAAAGAATTAACTTCCAGATAACAGAGAGATTATGCCATAATATTCAATATTCATATAACTCCAATTTAGACCTGCTAAACGGAAGAGGGTTGGGAGACACGGAACAGTTCAGACAGATGGGGAAATGTATTTTTTGCAAATAATAATAAAAGCAACCAAAATATGCATAAACGAAACATTTACGGTAAAACTGTACTTAATTAGCCATGCTATATTTTATTAGGCTGAGAACAGAAATAAGCGAATCACATTATATTAATTACTTAAACAAATTTATTTATCAAATATAAAAAGTTTATTTTAGAAATTAATTAAATTATGATTTTCTATATTTAAACAATAAAGTGGAGAGAACAAATTCTATTATTTAAAAATAAAAAATAAGAACTATTTAAATATACTTAATAACCTTATGAAATTATCTGTTATTGTAGGTGATTGAAGTCAAGAACAAGGACAAAAAGAGGAAAAGCTATTTAAATCAAAGGGAGTATTTATGTTCTAATTTACAGTAATGATATTTGTTTCTCCTATACATAATACATCAAATGTTGTAATTATTTAATTTTTTTACTATTAATGTTCTATGATTTTTCTTTATTGAAGACAATTGATCATGCTTAACTAGAAGCCTTGAATTTTTATATCATAGAGTGGTCACTCATCCGATATCATGATGCTTAATATATCTCAATACGAAATGATATGAAAATGTAAATAATATGATTTATACTTGCATGTATATGTTGAATCGATGGAGCATATCCCCTTATGGTATTGGCTGGGGCTACAATGTTCTCATGCACGTAAATGGAAAAGGTTATAGAAACAGAACACCTTTATTAATACTATTTTAGATAATGGCTCATGCAACGGTTGCATTATTTATGAGAAATGATACAGATACAAATAAAAATATGACATATGCATAACATTGAAAGTCTTGAAATGAAAGGATTAAATAGAATTATTTTATGCATTGAATTGAGAATTTGGAAAGTTTGGATATTAGAGGTTCAAGGTTTGATATTTAAAATAGAAATTTTCAACATCTTGCACTTAAAGTAGATGGTAGGGGAATGGATGATAGACCCAATCAAGATCCCATGTTTCCGTTGTCCCGGACCATCGTGGTCCCTGGTCTACTTAGTCAGAGGATGTAGTCGATCCAACCTGACACAAGGATCCTTGTCGGCAGCCATGGTTTGCTTCGTCCAAGGGGACCTTGTAGACCTGAGGTGGGTATTTGTCTAAGGGGACAAATTTGGATCCACCTTAGCTAACAAAGGGCTTTGTGCCCTATCG